TAGATCAACTCTATCTAGTCTTAAAACTGAGTATGTCAATGAACGTTTACACTGATGGAGTCATCGTGCTTGTGAAGTAACTTGCTGCTCTTTAGCGTCTTATGGATCTGAAGTCGCCGAAGCAATGAAGCCTCACCTTAAGTAGATCAATGTTGTCAGTGCGGTGGTGGACGACGACGGCTCGAATTAACTAGGTGAGGACATATGGTGCAAAGCCATTGCTAAGACACGAATTCGTTCACTTCGGTGGTTGCTTTCGTCTGGAAATTGCTAAGAGAGAAGGGGTCCTCGAAAGAGTGCATATTTTACCGAACTCAGTATAATCTCACAGGGCAGCAGCAACTGATAAAGGCTAGAATACTAAGTGCACATTAACCAGAATACTTCCCATGACCATTGAATTGGCGTCTAAAACGATCATTTATGGGTTATTTAGCACTTAGAGATCAATCAGCTGTATGCGCCTCAAAGGTTATGAAAACATACAACCATGTAGTATTCACTGTGTGTTTGTGCATTTTCTCATACGATACAAATTTAGCAGTTGTATTACAACTTATTACTTTGATTTATTTGAAACAACTTGAGTTCACCGAAAATCACGGTACATTGCAACACTAGGCTTTTTATAATGCTACACGCGGTCGATATTCTAACGCAAAGAATGGACACACGTATAGGACATTCAGAAGAATCAACCGTCCAATAGGTGACAGCATGTTTCTATGTGGTTTGGCAGAAAATTTTACGGAAAACGCCAGCATCTTCTGCACAATTGACCGACGGCGTAAGTAGAGAGCAAAACCCTCTCGAGACGTACGATTTACAATAATGAAAGTTTTCGTTCTTTACATTTTAAGCGATCGTATAATGCATGTTTTTCCCAATAGTCATACGATGTTAAATTCATCTGTACATTGAGAACATTCTATATAAAGCTCCTAGAGATTTTGATCCAGAGCCTGCATAAATCAATATTAGGGATTAATATCCGGTTTGTTTTGTACCCCCACACACCATTGGCTTTTTTAATCTTACTTTAAAGGTTGTAAACGTTACTTTGTAATCGTACAAATAGTTATTGAGATCAACGGAAAAAGATGAACATCCTTAGATGAACTCTACCGATTAAAATCACATGAATACAGATTCTTGTGACAGAATTAGGAATCGGCTTCGTAGTCGCGCCTCTGCACCTACTTGATATGGCTCTAGTCTATATTAGGCAATTTGCAGACGCGGCGCGCTCTGTTGAACGCGCGAGCACGCGACTAACTAGCCAATAAGAAGGAAGCACACACACGCGTGGATGGTGGTCATTGGTCTGGGTGCAATGACTAAGACAAACTTAGAAACTCCATAAATGGATATCCATTAGACGTGGTTACATCAGTGACGAATTTTGATATTTTTAAGCTCTAGCAATTCTGAGGGTATGGACGTAGTTGGAGGGTATCATCGAATGCCTCTCCCTATTTTGCCTTATACGCTTTTTTTCCATAACAATTCCCCCAAGTGATATTTAAGCATAACTGGCACCATCGACTTAGCGCCTTGCTCGCCACTTTTTCACTGTTGATGCCTACGCAAAGAAATTATAGGCGTGTTTAACGACGTAATTTCTGTAAGGATATTGATCTTGCTATTTGGTATGTTGTTAAGTATACGCCTGGAGCCCATGTTCATGCGGTTTCGAGATTTGACACGTGTCTTTTTTAGTGTCAATAAGGCTCCCACTTTCCCGTCTTTTAACTGCGGAGGGACTTTCATTTTTCTTCATTAAGGTCGCAAACACTGGGATCACTCTTTCTCAGGGTACTACTTTGGTTGTGCAATATTTGGCTTGTGAATGACAATAAGTTAGTAAATATGCGGCGTTTACGACCAATGTCGTTGAATTTATCCCACTAGTAACTTATGTTTGCATGCGTATTTTTCCCAGAAAGAACCTTGCTCAAGTAGAACCTACAGAATTTTGGTCATAGAGAGGGCAATTCCTTCGTGTTTTGACTGCATTCTGCTAGTAATACACCAAAACGACAAAAGGCCTTCAATTTGGTCGCAAGAACATGCTTCTCCTCGTTACCCCGTGAACCACTGGCCTATAAGGTGTCGGCAGAAGGCCACCCCGGAGATTAGACAGATCACTCATTTGCCGTTTTACATTTGTTGAATTCTAGCAAGTTTGTGCCCTCCCCCCACTGCCTGCGGTGGTCCACGTTCCCTTGACAACTGACTCCTTTAGTTCGACTTTAACGAGTCATATTAGTTATTGAAGAAAATTAAAACCATGGACGCATTAGCTTCGTGGTTGTGGCCGTTCACAACACGATTAAATCCCCAACATTCAAGGTAAAATATGCAAATAATGGCCAGCTTCTGGGTAGCGATGATGCGGAGGTCGCAGGCCTAGTCTAGTGTCGGTTAGTCACCGCGCGGGTAATGTCGACGACCCGCCGATGCGTGTGCACACGCAGTGGGTGACTCATCGTCTTGATTGGTCATCGCCAGCTGGAAAATTAGACTGCTTTGGCTCTCGCAAAGGCGTGACGTCGACCAGCCCTCATCAGCCTTTCCTGCTGTGTGGTTTCTGTGGCGTGTGTGGCCTCGATCATCCAAGTGGTACCTCCAATCTAAAATTGACGGCAACTAGATTTTTTTGGGAAGACACCTAATGGTTGACGCCTGTGTAATTCAAATCTAGAAAGGCAAATTTGAGCGAAAAATGACCCAAACAGGATGCAGTTTCCTCTTTTCCTTACGAAGAAATCAATGATGGAGGCAGGAATCGTGAGCGCGAAACCGTTGCTGAACTTACAGCGAGTGATGTGTCAGGGTGCCGTAACAAGTCCAAGATAATTTTAACATTAGGCGTGCAAATGAAACGAAGCATCTGTTTGGAACAGTGGATACACGCGAACCCAAGGCAGAAACCTGCGAGAAATTCAATCAAAAATTTCAGGAAGGCGTTCTATGGACCAAAAAGTTGCAGCTCCTCGACTCTACGTCACACAAGTGTCAGTAAGTTTAGGAATAGAAGACGTCGATTACCAGTTTATTGGGATTCCACAAAGTGGGCATTACTGAAGTGCTTGTTCGTGTCTACCCTTGAGCAACAACAAAAAGAAAATTATTCCATGTTTCACTACTGCATAGCGGTGAATCTGATACTAGCCTGAAAGTTTCGGGTTTGAACACCACCAATCAATCATTAAATTCACAGCATCTGGAACGCTTTCGAGAAATTTTAGTCACTACACTTGCTACTAATAAGATTTAGGTAGAACATTATTACTCGAGAGGAAAGTTTAAGTGGGGGATGCTGGAACAATTCGAAAGGACACTTTCAAGTGCGTACAATTTAGATTAGGTGGTAAGTTTTCGTTCAACGTGTTTGTTTGGTTGTGATGCATGCTGATATGGGGCGAGCATTCGACAGCGTCTCGATGTAAAACAAGGTAGTGACCTGTGATTTGTCACTAAGGCGCGTGGACCATTAGTCCGTTTAGAGGAATCAGTAACCAAGTAGCCATCTTTTAGGGAGATTCGAGTGCCGTTAATTCCCTGTTCTTAATTAAGATCCACGAACTTTCTTGTAGAGCAAAAAAATCAAACCGGAAATAACAACTCGCTTTGCTCACACACAGTAACGCTGCCGCCAGATTTAGTTCAAATTCACAAATGCCACTCCTGATAAATCACAACAGTTGAAAACTGCTCAACACAATTTCAACAAAAGATATCAGCAAGAAATGCCCATCTTCAGGAGTATACATCCATCGTAGCAATCTTTAAAAAATAGTAGCCAGGACCACTACCGTTCGTTATCGTAGAGCCCAGGAGTCGATAATGATTAGAATCCAGAAGGTCATAGTGTTTAACACAGGTTGCGTATTTTAGGGGCGAATAACTGCAGATTGAAATGTGTGCCCGAGATCAGCCAATCCCATGTCACTAGGTGTTTGAATGGTCTACGTAGATCAGCAGCCAACCAGAGAAAAGGAGGATGAGAAGCAGTATATAATGGGTCGCACAGCCAATGAATGCACTCGGGTGGACGGCGCCTGACGTAAGGTTCTGGATTGTAATTGGACAGCAACAGTGAAAATGTTATGCTTAGGTTAATTCCAGGTACATAAATAAGAAATGGATCAAAACCCATGTATTAGGTTGCAGACACTACTTCTACGAGAAAGCGAATCCCAAACTGGTGGGAACGCTAGTGATCATTCGAAGTCAACCAAGTCCTTCAACAAATTATTTTGCCCGAACGGCACCTAGCGAGCGAAATGGTTGGAGAAAAGGATCATTCTGGTAAGTAGTTTATTGGTCATAAAAAGTAGGCTGAGAAGTTGCGACGATGTACATAGGGACTCAAACAGAATACACGCCAATACGGCCAGTCAGTCTTGACAATAGTGCGTAGACTTCGTCTCGACCAAGGGAGGCGTCCCACAAGGAGTGGAAGTGCTCTCTCACGAAAGTCTCCATTTCTCGGTGCGTGGATCTAAAACCAATGAAGGAAAATCCATGTTAAGTTAGCATCGACTCGATAGTATTCGGATCTCATCGGTACCGCCAAGAAGGCATTTTCAGCGTGTCTGTTTGGCATCGCCGCGAACTCAAACCACCTTTGGCGCCAAAATTGTGACCAGTGAAACGGACAGAAGAAACATCTGAAACAATAAACCTGCCCGCTTAGGCAAGTTAAGTGGCAAAAGTTCCATTACGAAAATTGCATTTACCACGTCGACTTGGATAAGTCGTGTTGAAGTTCAATTTAACAAATGTGCCTTAGTAATTTATGCATCAATTGTAACGTACTGCGGTCGGAAGACAGGCGGTTCGGCGACACTGAGGAGGATAAAGGCGTTTTTGAAGGGTGAGCTATTCGGGTCGGTACATCCGTGGAGCACAAGAGCTGCTTCACCAGGTAGACGATCGATACCTTCTACGTGAAGGCATCGGTGTCCACCACTATAAGCTTCTTGCAGTCTAGTATGGAGACTCCGCTTCAACTAAACAAGAAAACCATCGATAAATATGAGCGCATTGGAAAAAATAGAAATACGGTATCTTAACAATGTAGACGCAATGGAAACTTGTCATGCTGGCTACAAGAACGCGTCAAATAATATGTGCGCGGGATGTGGATGCAAGAAAAGTGGATGACAGACTTCTTCGGTTATCTGTTACAGCATAATAGCGCGTCGAAAGGGCCTTGCGTTGTAAATCACCGAGTTGTGAAGTTGTTGAGGTAACTTTAAAGGCAGGTGAAGCTGGTCCAATGTGGACTTTAAATACGACGCATACGGCTTCAAAGAGAGCTCAAAAACGACGCATGAGTGCCAATTCATCTGCCTCGAACTTAGAGCGACACCTTGCTCTGAAGATGGAAGTCGTCTGAAATAGAATGCGGAGCGGTACTGACAACTATGCATACAAACATGTGAAGAAGCTTTAATTTGCCGATAATTTGACCCACCACTAAACGAAATTCAGCAGAAGCAATGGGATCAAATGGGAAACTCACAGTCTCGGGCAAGGTATCTTGAACTGAGGCGTATGGATCGATTGAGACACAGGTCTTCTTATTGTGGATTTCACCAAGAGCGTGAACAAATGGGTTGAGGAATCGATGAAACTTGTCATCGGTGAGGGCGGCAGGAATAAGGAGAAGCACCGAGGGGGCGTCCGGTTCTTTCAAGTGCCTTCAGACGAGAAGTCAAAGCCACGAATCAGAGGGCGACATAAATGGGGTACACAATCACACACGAATGTAACCTTGAAGACGCATGAAGTTTTACGCACTGACAGCGGAAGAAATGCGCAAAAATAAACGAGTATTTGCATTGAATGAGCACATGAAAAGTGGTGCACATATTCTGTTGTTGTCTAAAGCACTGTAGAAGAACACTTTTCGTGATGCATTCACTTTTTCAAGCGAGAGGGCAGATTGTAGTTCACCAACATCTACGGGTTGGCACGAAGTTAATTCAATCCATCTAAAGGTACAGCGGCTGGGCCAAGTGTTAGTGGCCTCCAACAATGATGAATGACCAGACAGATTGGGCTGTTTTTTAATTGGAAAACACACACCCTAGTGTTGTGAGCATGTTAGCCGATAAAGTATAAGCCTCAAAAACACATACTATTGGAGGAAACAGATTACTCAGCAGCCTAGCCCATGATTTCGTGGTGAGCTATGTAGAATTATTAAAACCATTTCCCTTCATCCTCTTCAACACGAATGTCACTTCCAGTGAGTTGATGATGGTCAGTCAATAGTAAGGGTAAATAACGACTAGATAAAAAAACGCCACCAACAACGGGGTCAATGAATACGACTTTCGTGATCGCAGCAGGCATTAACTCTGCAAAAAGCAAACAATGATATTGGAACCACAATCGATAAACGATTACAAAAGTAGGTAGAAGTGATATTCTAGGTGATAAAAAATCAAACCTTTGTTGGGAAAGGGCTAAGCTGACAGTAGACCAGAAGCGATCACTTTGGTTAGGAAAGGTTAACGTCAATCGAAGTACCCTTTGGCGGAGAGTTTCTTCAGAAATAGGCTGTTGATGCTGAAATCCTAGAAAAGAAAGCAATCGAATACGGAAAAGAGGCAGCAGAGTCAAGCCCAGCAAGACCGATTCAGCACAATTCACTGAAGATCCGTGAACCCTAATTTCTTCTTCGATAGTCTAACCTTGTTTGGTTTCTGAAATTTGTTTTAGAGGATGGATGTTACATTTATCTAGGTTACGGACGCTCGTTTAGTAGATAATGTAGAATGTCGCACATATTAGTGCGGTCACCAAGAAACGTTTGGGAGAGATTATTACACAAAGTAAGCCGTTCAAAGAGCAAATTAACTCACCACATAGAAAATAAATTAAGGCGCCGATGCAGATAAGTGTGGTAAATGCGATAAATGGCCGTAAACGGGATGTGAAATCAAGACTGGGGGGTTGAAACGAAACCACTTTCTTGAAAGGCCATTTTGATATCCGTACAGTGAACAAATCGGGTTGAGAGGAGGTCTCGGCGGATGACGAAGAACAATCATCACAGGAAGAATCAGTAAAATGAACGTTTGAAGGACTAGACGGCTCCGTGAAGAGTGCCTTCCTCTTCTTGACTGAAGTCAGTGCCTAAAAAGGCCAAAACAATGCAGTGAAAGAAAAAAACAACGGAAAATGTTGGTATAAAGAGCTCGTTTACATGTCAAAACGCTCAGGAAACACATTATGGTTATGCATAACAGAATTCAGTGTATATTCAAGATTTTGTCCCGTTTTAAAAATTTCGACTCGGGATACATAACTTTTTCTTGTTTTAATGTTGGCTACCTGTTTCAGAAGCTCAGACTTATGCTGCTGCTTTGTACCACTGAAACACAAATAAATATCAAAAGACATTCACGGGTGACAATCTAATTCAATTGTCACAAAGTCAGGCCGTACCTTTTAACTCATTCCTTAGAGCTAAGTGTTTCAGAGACAAATGAATAAGGGCAAAAAAATATTTAGCAATGTTAAAAAAGCTAAACATGCCTTGCAACGGGGTTTTAGATTGTTAAAATTTTTGACGAACTGCACATCTAAATGCGTTTTAATTGCGGTGAAGCATCGGCAAAGCCATTAGAAATCGTGGCAGCGACCGTAAATTCCTCGTCGAATAACTTCAATCCACCCAATTTTTCACTTAAAATAAGTCTCCTGGTTAACAAACGCATTATACTACGGAACCCCCTCGTATTAATTGGCTTGAAAAGCGATTAGATTTAAGCTGTCACTGATTTTATTTGCTTAGGTACTTAAAATGAGCCTTTTAAAATAATCCCCTCAGGGCAAATTTTACTAAACACTTTTTCGCCTACAAACTTCTGAGTGAGTCGTGACTGCGACTGATGACTCCACAGGATTTGTGGAAAATTCTAAACAATAGTAAGATATGTGCACAGGTAAAACAACTGGACTTGTTGGCATTCCTTCCAAATAAGAGCGGGGTTTTGTAAAAGGTAGCTGGAAATAAACAATAGAGAACAGAATGAAACTTTGCACAAAAATATTTTCATTCTGAAAATTAATATTGCAAATGCAAACATGACTTGGGGGAGTGCGGGCAGGTAGGTAAAGATACACTGGCTCGAAAGTGAAGTGAAGGGTCTATTTGCCATCAAGATCAACGACGGCGGAATTGTCTGGCGAGGGATCAGGAAGCTTCTTACTTGGAGAAGATGGAGGAGAAGTTGGGTGTCGATGAGAAGAGACAGAAGAAGAAAAAGGACGAGGAGGAGATAGAGCAAGCAGGTCTGCTGCATAAGATAAAAATGAGTCTGAATCAAGTGAGTTACTAAGTTCAGGCGCGCGTGGAAAAGGGGGCGAAGTTTCTGTGTAGTTAGTCGGAGAAGAAATAACAAGGACTGTTGACTGCGTTGACGTTTTTACTGGATTCGGGTTATCAGTGGCCTTAGTGGCAACGCTTGAGCAGGGCTGAGGGTCTGAAGGGTTCATCTCTTGTTTTTGAGTAGGAAATAATTTTTCCGTTTTCTTGACAAAAAAAGTAATGTTATGGTGAGCGTCAAAAGAAGCAAGAATAGACAACGTTAACTGGAGAACGAAAATAATCAGAGGAAACAATGAGGTGCTAAAATATTACCAGAAAACCGACATCTGAAGGGCAAACATGATATACACACATAGGCTCCCAATATACATAGCAAACGAACTAAATGGCTAAATTCACATCAATTCCTTAGATAAGTGTCAAGTGATGAGGAAGTAAAGCAAGTAACTTTCGCGTTATCTTTTCCTACGGTAACCAATAGTCAGATAGAAAAGCATTGCGGGCGATGCACTTAGCATTACACAGCGGATTAAATCCTGCGTTAATGTTTAAATTAGATTTTTAATATAATAAAAACACTTCCTAGCTAAACTGCTGAATCCACGTTTTTCTTGAGTAGCGGGTATAAGCGACACTGTGCACAAGAGACAGGAAATGAACAGTGCATTACCTCGGGGATAAAACGAATAGGAGGAATATCTAGGGATTCCTCTGATGATACGTTTATGTCGAAATCACCACCGGAAAGCTCTTTCAATCCAAACATCTCCATTTTGAGACGATTGTCTAGCTCAAGAAGTTGCTGCTTAATAGCTTCTAATTTCCGTATCCTGTCCCGGGAAACAGGCCCAAGGTACCTGCCTAACTCGAAAGGTTTTCGCTTTCGGACAGCCATCCCTTCAACGGATAAAATACGATAAAAACACGAAACAATGCTAACAATTGTGAACAAATGTACAAACACGATGCTAATGCAATCATTGGTTAGCCAATTGATGGAATCAATAACTAATCTCAAATAAATTATTGTGCCAATTAAGATTACTTGAAAAGATTACAAAACCACATTAGTAAAGCGTTCATTAATCTCAAAGGCTGATCTGTGCACCATTTTAGAGAAAGAAAAAAATCAGAATTAAGGATTACGTGTTAGAGTCGGTGTAATAATTTCTTTTGAAATGTTTTAAGCAATTAAAACGAAAAAAATTAATGCTGTTTATATTTTAATAAGTTTTAAGGTTTGATATCCTTTTATGGAGCAGGAGTGTCAAGAAAGGAAATGAACTCTTGTAGGATGATCAAAAGCCAGCAGATGTAGTTGATCTCAGATTAGTTTAAATTATCTATTAAGTCTTTTGACACTATTAAAATATCAATAACATTTTGGGTTATACTCCCGGTTATCCCATTAGACATGTCAGTGATCAAACCAGTAGTAAATTTAGGGATCTAATATTGGTTAGGAATTCTGATTTTGTTGTCTGCTAAGTGGACCTATTTCTGATGATGTCTTTCATCAAGGGTGAGCCAGGAGGGACTAAAGCCTCCGCATCCTATTAAATTTAGCGATTAGTTGAACTGCTTAAATTTTGCCATGGTTGCGTTCGTAGACGATATTGTGATATATATTCAAGTTTCTTTTATACCCAAATATTTGTGTAATTGTTGATCTAACTTAGGTTAATTAACACAAGTAATCATTTCTAAATTTTCTTATATTGGTAAAGCCACTTTTGTCCCCTAAAGTGTTACACAAGAAGCTGGAAACGCATTCCACCTAGCAGCCCTAGATAATTTAATCTAAGATGTTTGCAAAAGGCTTAGAGTGCGAATTGTTCTTTCCGAAAATGGTATGCTTCTTAATGTATTTCTACGAAGCACTTCAGCAGCAACCAATCAGGGCTTGATTATTCACATATTACTAATTGTGAAACATTTTTCCTGTCTTGCTATTAATGCTCAGAAATTATGGGATGCTGGTCTAGTATTTGACTCTCAAGACTGAGTTTATCGAAAAAAATTAAAAGAGGAATTTCAATAAAATTTTAAATTTAAGCATCTATAAAATGCCTTTTTATATCTTGATCCAACAAATCGTCGATGACCGAAACAATGATTGGGTTTCCTCAGCACAAGTTCTAGGCAACTAGTTAAAGCAAAAAGGACTCCCCACATTGACTTTGATGTCATTTTACAATATTTAATATGGAATAGAATCTACGTTTTCGTGTCTCAATCCATACAATGTCCAAATCTGACCACATGAAATTTTCCTAGAGCAGAATATTTGGGATATTGGAAAACTGACGTGACACCAGTCTATTTTGAAAACGGACAAAAAGCATAATTCAATGTCTTTTTTAATAATTTTTATAAGATAATATTCCCAAAATGCCAGGTCTAATTTACAATCCAATCATCAACGTCTGCCCAAGTTGTGCTGTGACTGAGCTGTAGGCTCGGAGATAACGATTCTGTGTATACTCCGCAGTTTATCTGAGGCCAAGAATATAAAGGACAGATACAGTATAGCAGGTGACTTCAATTCAAGAACACTATTCTGGCCGCGCCGACAATTTCATACCTCTCCCTCATGAGTTAAGATGTCCTCTGAATTTGAATCCTGTTCTGCATAGTTGACTGTTGACCAGACACCTAGTTTGATATTCTATGATACACCGAACATAGCAAGAGAGTTTCCTGGGAACAGTAGTAAAGGTTTATTACTCTTGTTGATATGCAGGTAGGCCACACCAATCATCGTATGTATAGCACATAAGACTTCTTTGACTAATCACAGGCCACAACTGAACGTCAGACACCAACATCAGAGACAACGTTGGCTGCGCCGCACATGATATGCTGGTCCTCAACTGAAAATGCATCTTGTGTGTTGCGGATCTTCCTCGCAAAAAATTCGAAAGCACAGAGACAGAGGATTGGCTTAGCTCATCGTGGTGCAATATTTCTCCGCCCCTGCGCGTCAAAACTTTACAATGTAAATTACCTGAGCCCTAGAATGAAGAAAATTAGTACAAGAGACATGGCCTCATTGGCCAATCACAAGCCAAAACGGAACCTCTGGCGCCGTTCATCGGAGTCCATCACGCCGGCCACGCCGCTCATTATATACTGCTCCTCGTTCGTGTCTGCATATCTTCGCATGCCATTGGAACGAAGAGAGACAGAGGATTGACTGAGGCTGGCGTGGATCAATAGGGCTGCTTTCTTAAGCGTCGCTACATTGCTTCCCCCGCAGAAGTAAAGCTGCCCTCAGCTTCTGGCTTGGTTCGCGGCACTGTTGTTGATTTCCAGTGTTGGCAAGATATCCAGTTCGACACTTCCCGCACCACACATCTGGCTGGTTAGTGGCCCATGCGAATAGTTGACGAGGGACTTTGCTCTTGTAGACTTGCAGGAAAGACTCATCATTCATTGTGGGTCCCCTCTCAGTTTCAGTCCAGCTGGCTTCCACTGTCCAAGTCGTCGTCGCTAAGTTGCCAATGCCTCTTCAGATACAGTAGTCCTAATCCCGGGCAGTGTCTACGGATCCAGAGTATTGGACATCGGATGACCGCCATGACAATTTCAGCTGGCATTAAAGGGTCTTCGCCTCTGTTGACCATAGAAGAGAAAGAGCTGGGGTCCAACATGTCTGCGCCCTGATCCGACGCCACTGTAGAATACCCGAGCCCTAATAGGTAAAACACTGGTACAACAGAACAGGCTTTATTGACCAATCACAAGCCGGCGCT